GCGCGGGGCGGGCGCGGCGGCCCGCCAGCGCTGCCGGGCGCGCAGCCGCTCCGCCAGCGTCGGCCGCGTCCACGAGCACGCCAGGCGCCACGACACCACCGGCACCATCAGGATGATCATCTGTCGGACAGCGCGCCGTCAGTGCCCAGTCATACACAGTACCCTAGTGACACTAAGTATGGCTGGAGTATACTCACGGTGAGGACGGCGGTGAACCAGAAGGTGGCCTGCGTGAGCGCGACCGTGAGCGAGCCCACGTACGGGCCGCCGATCGCGTAATTATAGAAATAATCTAGAACGAAGTACGACACCAGTGATCCCCATATCGTTATATGGTTAAACACTGTCCAGTATGTCGTATCCAAGGCTATCTGAAATTACAATTTTGTGGTTAGTTTACCTACAATTTGTTACCGTTAATAAATTAATTTGTATGAGAGTATAAGTACCTGTGTTGTATTGTCTATAATTAATATTGTTGCTACTACAGATCCTAGTAACATGTGATCTGACAGAATCAAGCCATCCGGTGCCAAACCATCTTTGTATGTACCTGAAATTAATTTATATGATGTAGTTATATCTGTAGTGTTCATAAAAGTAAGAAGTAATAAAAATGGTAGCGTTAATGTATTATTAAAGCCACCAATAGTTAACGTCTATGCTGTTAACGCAGCATGCATTTTGATAAAAAAGACAGGACATCAATATCTCACCATAAGGTATTAAGAAGAGGACGAGCGAGGTGAAGCATCCATGCAGCGTGGACTTGATGAACTCTGTCTTGTTGAAGAGTTGGCTGGTATGTCCGGGCGCGTACAGCTTGGGGAACTGCAGCGACGTCGTGTCCGACACGTCCTGCTCGAACACGCCCAGCGCCAGCACCGGCAGCGACGTGTAGAACAAGTTGTACACGGAGATGAACATCTCGTCGAACACCGTCTAGTAACCAAAATAACTAAGTATTAGCTGCAGTTATTGGTAATTCTTAGTTACTCAACATTAGGTAAAATGCCCTATGTATTACAATTTTCATTTCAAGAAGGAAAGACCTAGTCTGCATAAAATAAAGAAAAATGATTAGAATGGTTTACAAACCTGCGCACTAAATCCGCAGAAAAACGCGAACCAGAAATGACAGACGGTGAATGCGAAGTTCTTGTAGAAGAAGTATCGCAGGAACTTGCACATCCTATAGTAAGACCATCGGCCGTGGACTAGGAGTAGCCGCTGCAGGAACCGGAACTGGGCGATGGAGTAGTCGGACGCCAACACTGCCTGCATGCCCTCCTGCCCCGATATACCCACGCCTATGTGCGCCGCTGGGGAAAGAAATAAAACAATAATAATTATTATTATTTAAAAGTTTTCACTTTTTCATTAGCAGCTAGTATTATACCCGTACTACAAGAAATGTAGTGGATTGATAAAAAAAATACTGATTTGTATCCGTCTAGAAACAAAAAGGTTTTATATACCAAACCTTACCTTTGATCATAGAGACGTCATTAGCGCCGTCCCCGATGGCTAACGTGACGGCTTTCCGACTCTTCTTGATGAGTTCTACCACCATTGCTTTCTGCAATGGCGTCACTCGACAACAGATCACTGATCGACATTGTAATACTACATCTAAAAATCTGAAACAATAAATACTTTGTAACATACTGGAGGGTATACAAATATGAAACAATTTACATTTTATAGTATTCGAATGTGGACAATTTTCCTAAAGCTGGTGCTAAACATGTGTTTTGTTATTCATAATTCTTCGCTGAATGGTTGAGCAAAAAGTTATTGGATTTTATTGCCAACAGTTTAATAATTTCTCAGTAACAGAACGGAGTCTGAAATTTTGCCCGGTAAACGACAACAAGGTCACCCTTATTATTACATATTACATGGGACTCATATAACTAGTTAACCCTCTATTGCATGAATTATGAAATTAAAAAGAAAAAAAAAGTATTAATGTATTTTAATAGGGCTTGTAGGACAAAATATAAAGTGAAAAAAAGGATCTTATTTTAAGGGTTGGTGTTACATCATACAACTCCTTAGTTCAGGGATTACAAGGCATTATGACGTAGTATGTACTCACTTCTCCTCAAGTTTAGGATGCAGACAGTGTACGAGCGAGTGTCCGTTGATGACGATGGCGAACCCGTTGGTGTCGTCGTTGTGTTCGTGTGAGTCGGCCGAGTAGGGGGCGCCACCGGACACGTACTCGTTGCTGTAACAGTCTGGCTCACTACAGTCGTACAGCTTGACTTAACATTTTATATTATTGTAAGGCATTTTAGGGGGAGATAATTGAGTCAATTTGTAATCTCACACATTTATAATCTCTAATAGGACTTTTTGAATAATCGTATATGACTTTAGACTTTACTTAGATATTTAGAAAACATTTTCTTTTTGAAATACAGAATTAACTGTTTTAAGGACTCTTTCTTATTCATTTATCTATCCAGTAACAATGTTACTAACTATTGACTTCTTTAATAAAATCCTTAAAATAAACTAGATTGGCTCCAATTAAGTTCATTTATAATTGAAAAAACAAATCAGGTATAGACGGACTATTTTCAAGACCTGTAAATGAACATAACTGGAGTTAGAAATCACACGAAGACACACAGAACGCTTCACATTTTGCTAACAGAACAATTGCACACAAATTTCGAAATACCAACACATCAATATACTCCAAAACTGTCTTTAATAGATTTTAAACCTAAACATCTTTGAGACAGAGTGGATCTATCAAAGAAACTTTGTTGTAGTTTGACGTGCCGTACTAAAAATTAGGTAGGATCAAAATAGTCTACAATCATTATTTATATGGTGATGTCTACAATACTAATCTAGGTGTCGATTTCAAAGATAATATATAAGGTTAGAGAAGGAGCACTCAGGCTTGGTGTACAGACATACGTGTGGACAGAACTACCGCTATATTAGTAGGGAAATGACACACTTTAGTTACAAAACATTATTAGTTAACAAATTGTTATTTTACAGTCAAATAAAGCGATGAAAAGGTTAATATAAGATCCAATTTTCTATATATTTATTTTATACAGCTAAAGCCACAAAAACATCACTAATAGCGTTCACATATGACATTTTGAAGCCCGGCTTAAGCACATACATTTAAAGCTTTTTCGTAATTTTGTTGTCGAATGAAATGTCACAAAGCATGTACTGTAGGATAAATACACATAGTACGATTAATAACTCTAGTACATAAATTATATATATTTAATAAGGATATTCATAGATTTAACGTTAATAAACAAGTATCATAAACATTGGGATCCTTGGTGAAAAATGAATGAATTTAACTTTTAATTTGACACTTGAATTTTCGAACTCACTTCCATTTATGGACTTGATGATAATTGGAAACTAAGTACGAGTTTCCATTTTTTCTAAAAACAATAAAAAATAGCATTAATGCATAGGAATTAGTAACTTATAGACTTCAATCGTGCCAAAAATGAAGAAAATCTACCGTTTTTCATATTTCGAAAATATGATTGAACTTCACCATAGTGGAAAGTTGAGTGTTGTCCTCTAAAATATCGATAATTTGGGCTTTTAAACGTAGATATATAAAACGAAGTTGGTATAGGACAGACGTGGCACAAGAGTAGCGTACAGAGTGTCTACCTGCAGTGAGTGCGAGAGTATTGTCCCCACCTAAATGTCCCGACGGACAGAGAGTACACACAGACAGTAGTGTATAGAGCTAGCGGTGCGGGTGCGGTGCGGTAGTAGGGCGTGTGTCTGTCTACCTGCAGTGAGTGCGAGAGTATTGTCCCCACCTAAATGTCCCGACGGACAGAGAGTACACACAGACAGTAGTGTATAGAGCTAGCGGTGCGGGTGCGGTGCGGTAGTAGGGCGTGTGTCTGTCTACCTGCAGTGAGTGCGAGAGTATTGTCCCCACCTAAATGTCACGACGGACACGGCGGGCGCGTTCAGTTTCACATTGGCGCGGCCGGGGGACGCGCGCGACACGCCCGCCCCGCCGTTCGCCTCGCCTGGAGACTTTGCCTCTGATGAACCTGTGTAGAAGTCAATTAATTTCATCATAGGTTGGTCCGATGTCACTTAAGAAAACTTAAAAAAGAAACAAATACAAAAAAAGGTGAGGTGAAAGGTGGTCTAAATTTTTTTCACAACAAATCATTTGCATAAAGTACTCTAATTGAAATTAGAGTTAAACTGTCAAACACCAAGCGGTCACCGGTGACCGCAACCTATTGTTCTATAATTGTGTCTATAATGACGGTACTCGACGAGTTAAACCTATTCAAGGAGGGTTTTCGCGTCGCTAGACAAGCTAATTGAAACGTTACATTAACGCATTTAACACATTTTATTGCCAATTGTCAACCTATTAGTTAGCCTATTACCCATCAATGACTAAGCTAATTAGAACCTTGCGCCTGATTAGAGACCAAATGATATTTTATTTTTTTGGGGTGGACGGATGGATGGCAAACGAGTCTGTGGCTCCGTTCATAGACACCATCAATATCAGGTGCGTTGCCCACCTTTTGGGGGTAAGGCATTTGAGGATTCACAAATCCCCTAGATTTGAGGTTGGGCGGATATAATTAGGCCTTCGGTAACCTCACTGACACGAAACACGACGCAAGCGTTGTTCCACGCCGGCTTTTTGAAAGACGTTTGTATCACGTATGTTTCAAAATATGCTTACCGTGAGGCATGAATGTGTTGACGACTCGTATACTGTCCCTGCACTTGGCGAGCTGTCTGTCGACGTCGTCGTACGAGGCGCCGTCTATGACGAACACCTCCGCCATGTCGTCTGTGAGTAGCTGACATGAGTAACCGATGTTTATCGCTGTTTCTGTAAATAAAATATGTTTTGTGAATATAAAAGCATTGAAGAATATAATATACTAGCTACTTTCGCGCGGTTTCACACGTTCTGCTCAGCTCCTATTGGTGATAGCGTGATGTTTTATAGCCTTAGCCATCCTCGATAAATGTGCTATCTAACACAAAAATAATTATTCAAATCATACTTGTAGTTACGGAGATTAGCGCGTTCAAACAAACAAACAAACAAAAAAACAAATTTTTCCGCTATATAATAGTATAATAAGATTACAGCTACATTGTGAACATAAGGGCGTTTTACGAAAATAAGTAAAATTAGTTTTAGTGTCAATAAATTTTAAAATGGAGAAATACTTTGGAAGATTCTTTAAGTTACGTTTTCAGTCCATGTCATAGGTATGTTTTTTACTCGAAATGACGCATAATGCAATTATTCGCAAATACAGGTAAAATGTTTATTTACCTTGTTTATCGCCGGTTAAGACCCACACCTTGATGCCGGCCATACTGAGATTCGCTATTGTTTCTGGTACACCGTCTTGTAATTTGTCTTCTATTGCTGTTACGCCTGTACACAAATGTAAAAAAAATCATTCATTGCTAATATGTATAATCGCTTTTTTATGGGATAGAGAGGCGATCGCCACCCATGGGGATTCACATTCGATTGTAACACAAGAAGAGATACAACTTCATTGCCCGCTCTTGTATGGGGGATTGGGGTTCCGGCAATATTCATTTGGTTTTCTTTGAAGCCGTGATATCAAATAGGTCAAGCCGGCCTATTCATGCCGAAGCTCTCGCTTTGTGTTTACATACTGGAAGATGATTTTTTTAAGCGTGAACAAAGGCGGTTCATCAGGATGAAGCTGTTTGTTGAATTTCTTTGATATAATGGCTGATGAAGATGACATTGAATATCTTATATTAACTAAAAATTGCGGTTCACTCACATGTTAATACTGAGAAAATCGGTAGGCTACTGCAATAGGCTGCGAGACTTCGCTGCGACCGCGCACGCTACTCATGAGGAAGAACCCCTCTGTGGTTCGAAACTAGTAGAGCTCTTCACAGTATTTCAACGTGAGTAACTCGCGATTTTTAGTTAATTTAGTATGTCTCACGATAGTTATTATCTCATATTATGTATGCTCCTTACCCATGAGCAGTAGATCAGTCTCGATCTCCTCGTAGATGGCGTCGAGTTGTTCGTCCCTGTCGTGGAGCGCCAGTGCGGCGGCGTGGTGCCTCCGCTTCCACTCCGCGAAGCCGCGCTCCTCCAGCGGACGCCACGCCAGCGCCAGCGTACGCAGGCCTTCGCCCGCGAATTTCTAATACAAACAATTGTCAAGATAAGACAAACATTGAACTTATTGTTGTAGATAGATTAAAAATATTTTCCTTATTATTATTATTTAATACGTGACGCAAAGAACAGATACTAAATATTGCACCTAGGGATCAGACTGGGTATTTTTTTTTTAATTAAAATATTTATTAACGTAAAGATACTTACATTTAAATGTTCCTGTGTCTTTGACTTTACATCTGTTTGACTTCCACTTTTTAATCTGTCATATATTACATTATCAGCACCTTTTGTATATAACCTAATTTCACCATCCTTCCTCAATATCACGGACATTCTTTTCCTAACATTATTAAAATCTAATATACATAACAATTCATACACCTGGAACAAAAAGAAAACAATTTTGTACCACAAATAAGACAAAAAAATAACCAAAATCAAGACTTAAAAACTAAAGAAGAGTATACATACCTCTGTTTTACCCATTACTTCTATTGTAATACTATTAGGCGAGCGTTCTCTGAACACGAAACCAAAATTTCTTGCTGCTGAAACCAGGGCAGACTCGTCGGGCGATTGCGCCTGAAATAACATATTACAAAATTTAGGTCGTTGTTTCCATCCGTTTCATTTCGCCCAAAGAATCAATAAGCTGAAGTGGCAGTGGGCCGGTCACATTTGTCGAAGAACCGATAACCGTTAGGGTAAACGTGTTCTAGAGTGGAGACCGCGTCTGGGCAAACTCAGTGTAAGACTGTAGGGCGCCCTCCAGGTAGGTGAAGTGACGATATCCGCAAGGTGGCTGGCAGTGGTTGGATGAGAAGAACTGAAGACCGAGCTCAGTGGCGTGCCATTGGAGAGGCCTATGTCCAGCAGTGGACGAATACGGACTGTTGATGATTATGATGATGTTTCCATCTAGGGCAGATGTTTTCTTCCATAGCACCCCGTAAATACAGAACCACGGCGCGTCTATCTAGTCTGATTAGGCGAGGTAATAATCTGTACTCAAAAACTGCTAGACAAATTATGCAGGCACCCACAGTGTATTCTTGTGAGGTCTTTTAATTGGATAAGGGGCAGACGAGCACATCATAGATCACCTAATGGTAAGGATCAGTGCCGCTCATTAAGCACTGTACACTCACTTAAGACTACAGATTTTTTATAAAAGAATTAACTTTTCTTGAAGGTCGTTTGGTTCAGAAATATCAAAGGCGATATATTTCCACAGTTTTATTGTGAGATGTTTTTTAAAATCTTTCACCAACACCATATTCTTACCTGGTACTCCAGCCTGCCGTTCTTCTGGTCAGGCATGACCGTATGACACAGTGCGAGCAGACGAAAGAAGTCGTGGACATTCTTATCGCCTCGCTTCACTGCGTCCAGGAGTGTGCTGTCGAAGAACTTGAACTCCGGCTCGTATTCAGGGTTAAACGAGAAGTCCAAAGGCTCCGAGCTCTGTTACACATAAATACTTAATTATTGTCAGGAAGGTTGAGTAATGGCAACAAATCTACGGATTTCTTTCTTTTTTGAAAATATGGAATGGGAAAAGCAACTGCAGAAATGAGTTTGTCTGTCGTTTTGGTAGAATATAGCTTGACCTCTTTTGGTTGGACACCCCAATAATTAATATGTACGAGGTGTAAGGTCGTAGGTAATCTAATCTAATGCATTAGTGACCGTTAAAGTTCATTGCCTGTAAAGAGTTCAGAACCATTAAAACATTTGCTGATGAAACAATTAATTTTGCGACTAAGGACAAGGTTGCACAATTGAAATATTAATAAAGATTTTATAAAGAAAATAATATTTTTTTAGCAATAAATATGAATTTACAGTATTCAAATATCACGGTACAGAGATCAAACTATATTTAAGACGATCTATAAAAAATGTTCAGCAAAATACAAAGGGAAGTAGACTTCCTTTTTAGAAACTAGTCTAGAGACTAGTTTCTAAAAAGGTTAAATAAAATCTGTATGAATGAGCAACTCAATGCAATCTAAAGTTGTTAAAACATTGCTAACATGTTTTAGAAGTTACGTATGTATTACAAAAAATATTACTAACACCTCTGTGTTGCCTTCCCCATTATTTTAATTTCTTTTTTTATTTTATTTTTTACGTAGATTTGTCTGTGGTTCTACAGATACAATTAAAAGTGTTAATGCTTACAAACAACAAACACACGGTGCGAAGCCAACATGCATACAAAAATAGCATTAGTTAATTACATATAGACAAGGACATAAGTACATACAACTTATACATATTATTAGTAGTTTGTGTGTAGGGAAACGTTACATAAAAAGAGCCCAATAGAAATTATTATTATTTTTTGAGCCAAGAAAGATAGAAATTAGTTGTCTTCGTATCATAAATACATTTGTTTAGTTTATACCGTCTAGAAGAGAAACTACTTGCACATTTTTTTAATATGGCCCCGTTATATTAAAAAGAGTATTTAATACTAAAGTCAGAAACGTTTAGTTAAGTTTGTCAAGACGTTAATAAGCTAAAGATGTTTAGAAATAATAAGAAATATATACGGTAGAAGACAGAAATCCTACTTCGTACATAGTGCGGGAGCGAGTCTTAAGTGGTGACTTGCTACTTCACTTGTGTGGGGTTAGCTCGAGAACATTCCAGAAGTACAGAGGATATACAGAAGAGGGGGATAGGAACTTAAAACACAGGCGCCAGGACCGCTGCCCGCTCCAAATACGAGTCATATCCAAGCAAACTAAATAGTAAATGACATTAACAAACACTTAACTTAATTTTAATCGAGCATATAGCGAGTATCCGATTTTTTTTTTAGTAAAATGTTTCGCACGCCACCACTAAGCATGGGTGCGTATGGCCGTACGCTGTAAAATATTTGCATTGTAACAATAACACATAATGAACCTTATTTCTATGGTGATAGGGTCTACAGTCTACACGAAGCGTATGACTGAACAATGACGTCGCAATAGCGACTAGACATACTCGTCTGTTGACAGAAGAAAACAATTGACAGTACTACGGAGCTTGGTGAATAGAACATGCTATGGGCACGATCTGCGCTGAAGCGAATACTAACGCTAGATACTATTAAACACAGCGCACGGCTTAGTCGAGTAGGAAGAAGTTAAAGGATTATTTCATAGCACAGAGATAATAGGAGCATTACAGCAAAGACACTAAGCACACCAGCAGGGCGTGCGAAACACGTATGATTAGCGGGCAGACATGGCCGCGGGAGTCGTATCAGTAGCGGGGCAGCGGCGCGTGTAGTGAGTGGCGGCGGTATCGCGGGCAGAGTTACGAGTATGTGCTGCGTACGCGCGGGCGCCGGCCGCCGGGCGTGCTGCGGCCCGCGTCCTGCTCCAGCTCCAGCAGGCGCGCGCGCGCCG